GATAATTATATTTTTACTCTAATGTTAACTTTGTATTTTAATTTTTTTTATTGGTTAACTACATTTTAATTTAATTCAAATATGATAACTCCTTTTCGCTTAATTTCAATTGGGTATCTATATAAATTGATTCCAATTATTACACATAATTGTTAGTTATTGTTGATGTAGAATGAGTACAGTTGTAGATAAAGAAATGACGATCGTCGTATATTGACTGTTACATCATTGATTTACATTAGTTCAAGTGATGGAATTGGACGGAGTCTAATTAAAGGGTAGTGTTATTCAACTGAATAAAATTGAAGTATGGTTAATGAAAGTACAGTAAATTATAACACAAATATGTCCAACTCTTACACTGTAAGTCCTTTTCATGTGGAACCATTGCGAACCAAGTCTAGATGAAAGGCATGAAGAAAGCACCCCGCATAAGAAAAATGCGGGAGAAACGACGATCAATTCTATTTTGACCACCTATAATGTAAGGCATATGCGGCAAAAGGTGTAACTAATGAGGGCATAGGAGTCGACGGACAACTGATGCAAGCCTAGGCGCCAAAAGGCGCGCGTCTTTTTTTCTTCATTTTTTAAAGTTTTTAAGTTAAATACTTGAGGCATAACATTACCTTCTTGTCACAACTTACACCTTTTAAAACCCTGGTATTACCATCGGTGCTAAGTTTCATTTTAGTATTTCATCTATAGAATACTTCCACTTGTTAATGTGTTTCAGATATGTAACTGTCAATTCAATGAATAATTTTTAACACCTCATTCTATGTGGCAAAAATTCTCAAGATCTCAATTCATGGATTCCTTTATTTGAAAAATTAAGAGAAGAGAATCAAACAGACTCTTTTTCAAATTCTATAAATGGCGATTGATCGTATATTTTGTTGTAAATCCATGATTCATAATATCATATCCTATTTGATCCCTTCGAATTCAATTTCAAAGTTACAATTGAATCTTTTTATTNTTGTAAATCCATGATTCATATTATCATTTCCTATTTGATCCCTTCGAATTCAATTTCAAAGTTACAATTGAATCTTTTTATTAAAAGTAATCGATTTAATACATTTTCTACGTTCACTAATGAGCTCTTTCAATGGAGGCTTCTTTTAAACTCTTGTTTGACACACATTATTTTAAAATATATACTTTCTGTTTCACGGCTTTATTCGCTAACAATTAAAAACGGATCAGACGATTGTGTAAGGGACAAACCTCTTGAAACAAAGTCCCAAAAAGGAGTGTTTATTGAATATGAAGATTACAGTTTGGAAGCGAACAAGATGCCTCCAAGGGGCTCAAGCACACAAGTACGAAGGAATTGAAATAATTAAAGTTAATCTAAGAAAAGCAAATTACATATTCTCTGTTTGAGAGTGAATTTTGTCAGGCTTATCTTCGTTGTCTTCCTCTTTCTTTTATACGGCTTGGGCAATTTTTAATCGTTTAGAAACTG